TTGAGTGTTTATGAATTATAACACCACAATCTTAGCAACAATAGAAAAATAAAGACTTGGATTAAATAAAATTAAATCAGAATAATCAGCTGAGTATAAATGGCCAAACCAAGAGTTCACTACCAGAATGAAATTTCAACTTCTGCACTCCAAATCTTGCTCTCAATTTACAAATGCACTTTCAGCTGTTCACTGTAAAAAACAGAATAAACAAACAAATAAAAAACATATATATTCACTAAATATAAAGCAAAAGAACTTGCCATTTGCCAAGGACAAACATCAATAATCACACTATCATATCATTTTTCCAGAAAATAACATAAAGATTTCTCCAGAAGGGGTTTTGTTCTACAGTCTCAAAATGTTCAAGGAGCAGTCCAATTTACCTTCCTTTTTTTTCCCTAATAACTTAGCAGATAGCAATAATCACCTTCCATCTTTGAAGTACCAAAAAACAAAATTAATGGAGAAAACAGAAGGGGAGGCTAAAAAATTAATCTTGGGAAACACCAGAACAAAAAAAATCGAAAAAAACAACAAAAGAATAAATAAAAACTAAAAAATCGAAAGCATTGAGCTTGAAGATAAGTGCCACTTACAAGAAATTCTTAGAAGACAGCTCATTTACACAAAAAGTGAGCACCTATTAAGATTCCTTCACTATTTCATTCATCAAGAATCAATTTTTTTGAAGAACCCAACAAAAGAAAAACTCTATGACCTGCGTAAGAATGAGAAGCATAAGAAAGAACAGAGATCCATACCATGAACTCAAAGATAATGGCTTTGAGGAAAATCAGATAGGAATGTGAGATGTCTGTCAAGCTTTTTCAAAAGCAAAAAAACAGAGAGAAAAAAGCTTCCTTATTGCCCGCCACAACATTTAACTGACAAACACCATTGTTGTTTTCTTATTATTGTGCTCCTTTTTTTCCAGCTCCCCCTTTGGGTTTGGACTTTATGTCTCTTATTTTTTAACAATTTTTACTTTTTTTTTTACTATATTTATGTCCACCCTGGCACTCAGGCTGTTGGATACTCTAGTCTATACTGTATTCTCAAACCTTAAAATGACACAAAGACCCTTCAAACTCACCATATTGTATTATTTCAACACATACTCTCTTGTCATAATTTTGTTATAAAACCACTGTAGACCAATATTGTTGATTTGATGATCACCAATGCGTTTCATACTCAATTAAATTTTAGTATATGTTGCATGTATGATTGTAGAATAAAGTAATTATAAAGATGCTCTCAAATTTTACATAGACTGCTATTTATCAATAAATAAATATAGCATTTTCACCTTTTCAAAATATGAAAATAAGAAGATCTTATTACATAACTATATAGTTTTTATTCAAACTGACTTGTTTAAGAACACAACTCTGTTCGGCTAATGAAAGTTCGAGCTAGAGCTTGTTCGCTTACTTAAATGATCTAAGTTTGAACTACTAATTAAGATCATTAATTAAAGCAATTGGGCTTGCTCTTTACCAGGTTGTTTAGTTTAAAAATTAGACGTTAATTTCGTACGAATTGAACATGTTCATGAACAGACAAATCGTGTTGCAAATCACTTGTTTATGATTTTGGAGTTGTACGAGTCGTGTCTTTGGCTCGATCGTTTATTAAACGAGTGCGAACTTTAAGAACAAGTGTTCCACTTGATTTGAATAATGTCTTTATGTAACCATAACACGAAAACTGATAATAATGCATTAGTTTTAGTAATATATGAAAATTTAATTGTCACCATATAACATAGTTATATCAATTTTGCAACTGAAAATGAATAATACGACTTAGGAAATCAACCATAATTATTAAAAGATAATATACTAACACGTACTTTAAATTAAATACACTTATAACAAATGTTAATACATTAGTTAAATCATAGCGGAATAAGAGTTTATGGTATTTTCTTTTCATCCATCCATCAAACCCATGTCAGTTGTATAGTTTGAAGTTGGTAACTAATATTATTTTTTATTTTTTTTTTCGCAACGATAGAGGATGTTATATCATGAAATGTACAAAATTTACAAATCGGGAGCCAACTGACTCGAATAAAGGAGAGCCCCTCACACCCGAGTGTTCTAGAACCAATCAAAAACCCAAGCAAAATGAATACCTAGCACNCAACAACAACAAAAAAAGACTAACAAAGCTAATACGAAATAGAAAAAAAAAAGCAGAAGAAGATCAAAGTTGAAAGCGTGGAGTGACCACTGAACCGAAAGGACCTAGACCCTCCATTTCACCTCTCATCTGATGCTGCATTTTCTTCTAGCAAACTCAAGCCAATCTCTCTGAGCCATTTTGATTATCACAGGGACTGGCATCCATTCCTTTTTGAACACTCATAAGTTGCGAGCCTTCCATAACCACCATAAGAGATAGGTGGTAAGCTCTATTCTTGCTTCAGACACGTCCAACTTGCTGATAGAACATACCTCAGTCCACCATAAGAGATAGGTGGTAAACTAATATTATTCACCCAAAATTATTGACCAAAAGGCCCAAAACTAAGGAAAGTAAAAATAAATTAACCCAAGGACTAAAAATAACCTAGACAAAAGGGTAATATTGTCATCTTTACTCTCGTTGGAGTGGCAAAGTTATTTTTACATGCACCAGTAGCCCTATATGTTGGCATCTTACACAGTTACACACAAACACAATTCACAAGCATGCCAGTAAAAAGTAAATAAATAAGTATAATTTTTCAGCTAAAGAGAATCATAAATCATAATTGTACAGTGGAAAAGAGCAAAAGGGCAAAAGACTATCCTTCCTCCAGTCGATCCCACGCGCTGGCCCCACTCGCTTTCCTTGTACTGTACATTGAAGCCTTTAGGCCAATTTACAGCGTGCAGAACGTCGGATTTAGCCACTGTACTTGAGGTTATTCACGAGACTGCCACTCTGAATTAAAACTCTAATGATGGGTCGTTTTGTCGTTTGGTGGCCTTACAAACGACTACAGACTTCAAATGAAATGAAACGTTCCCAAGGGCTTCATTGTTCATAAAATAATTTGTTCAAAATGAGTTATTTTGGTTAATTATTAGTGTACTTTTAAAAATGAATTAAAATAATATTTAAAATAAAATTATTAAAATTAATTTTATGTAAAAGTATGAAATAAATGATTGAAAATGATAGGTAATTAAAATTATGTGAGTAGATGAATAGTGAATTAAAGTTGATGTGATGTGTAAAAATGATTAGTTTGTATTATTTATATATATAAATAATATTAAAATAGTAGGGTTGAGTTAAAGTTGAGTTAGATTTTGAGTATGAAATAAAGTTGAGTAAATTATTTCATAAACAATCAAGCTTTTGGCTCGTCTCGTTGGTTAAATGAGTCTGGCCTTGATCTCACTGAAAGCTCGTTTTGTTAGCGATTTGAACTCAGTTTGGGTTGATAAGATTGGGAAATAAAAGTTTATATAATTATTTACAGTCCAGTTCGTAAAAATTCAAGATTGACTCGTAATGGCTCGAACTCGACTCGTTAATATTGATAAATTGATCAAATTCGAGCTTGTTAATACTTCGAGCTCGAGTTAAGCATGAAAACCCTGAGTTAAAACTCGATTCGACTCATTTACAATCTTACAAATGACGACCTTCATTGTCTCTCGAAACAGACCCATGTGTCTTGTGTCTCCAACACGTGCATCTTTAGCTTGCCTTTTGATTTTTTAATTATTTTACAATTGGTTATTAATACCATACTTAATATAATAGGTCATTTAATTCAATGAAAAATATTCGACTCTATCAATGACTGTTAATGTAGTTGTGTTAATTTTTTATCTTTTGATCAATACATACTAGTGCGTATCCCGTGCGAGGGTATATAAATTTAGAGAATATTATAATTTGACATGCATTAGGATATATGAGAGTTTAATACATACGAAGATTATTCAATCATAAAATGTTCGTCACGAAAAAATTTTATATTATTAAAAACTTTCGTGTACATGACATTATGAGTTTGATTATTGGGTAACTCGTTGTGAGGAGCACGGACCGGACGCGGGATGCACAAAGGGCTATAGAAACTGGGCCTCACACAACTGGCTCCCTTGTTGGGCTTCTCTCCTAGGCTGCGGATGCCAATTGCTGTCGCCGAAAAATTTTTCCACACACTTGGACAACTTTTCTTATTTCTAACTATATTATAAATTATATATTATTCCATATTTAAAACTTTTTCATTTCTATTTTATGTAGATAGTTATTTTATATTCCCAGTTATACTAATAAAGCATGTTTTTAGTTTGAATCATGTAGCTTCCTTAATAGTGAGTAGAACGATTTATAGATAGAAACATAATTTAATGATTCCCTCCAATTTCTCTCTTCTCTCCCCTATTATTTCATATTCCATATTTCACAATTTTCTCCAAATAAACCAAAAAAATTACATACAACAATTATTAGGTTGACCATCAAATAAATCAAAATAAGACTGTAAATAAACGTAAACTTTTCCTTAATATTTTCTATATTTTTTTTAAATAAAAATTGTAATGTTTCAGGTTCGACATAAAACTGATTTGTTATTAATTGTTTCTGAATAGGCTATCTATCTTAATTTTTTTTCAAAGTTGGTTTATTTTTTATTTATATCATCAATATGTCATGTTAGTCACCACTGGACATAAGCTCATAGGATGTGATGATAAATGTGTATTTAGATTTTAACATATACAACATAAATGTAAAAAATACAGAGAACAATTAGAAAAATGTGATTTTCTTAATTAAATCTTTAGGATAAATGCATTGTCAAATCATAAAATTCCTCAAGCAAGGAGTTCGCTCTTATATATCAATCAAGATTTCAGTGCCGATAAATTGCATTGTTCCAAAAAAATAATATATTTTTCATTAAAATAAATAATTTATTTGTGACTAATGAAATCAAACTACGAAAAAAAAAAAGAAGTAAGAAATGAGCAATCGTTGAAAAAAATTCTACTATGCGCGAGATTGTTTTTTATCAATTCAATATTTATTTTTACTGTAGTAATATAGGTTATTACAACGCAAGAAAATGATGTAAATTATATTACTTAAGAAAATCATATATTCACTACAAAAAGAATTCATAAACATTGAAATGTTAATGTATCATAGTTTTTACCTTTTTTATATATATTTTGTATCTATATTAATATTGACTTTCGTTTGGATCAATTTATGACATGTAGGTGATTTGTATATATAATTTGATAATATCCATTAATGACCCGAATTTTTTTGGTTTCTATAGATACTCGGTTTTTTAAATTTAAATGTCTTGTTCTATTCATTTTTTTAAAAATAATTAATATTTATTTTAATAAAAAACATCTTTTAAATTTAGATTATGTAACTTAATTATTGAAAAAAATAGTTATTTTTTTAAAGTACTTGATTTTGGTAAATTAATCATTTTAGATTTTTGAATGTATGAAACATTGGAAGAAGATAATCTAAAATATCCTCAAAGCCCCCTAAAAAAAAAATTGCGTTGTTTGATAAGTATAAACTCACCCAATTAGTCCATACATGTAAAGGATAATCAAATCAGGTTAAAAATTAAAAAAATAACTCAAAGATTTAGGCTACTTTAGTGGGCTATATATTGACCATGGAACCAAACAATTTGAATTCAAGATGGAAACCTTATCTCTAAAATCCCAGCCGAGATTTTGACTCCTACAATGATCTAAAACCCATAATTTGTGGTAACATTTAATGCTAATTGATTTTTTAAAAAATAAATTAAAAAGTTACTATTAATAGAAAGTAATTAATGATGAGCAAATTTGATTATATAGATGACCTGCCATTTTTTATAAATAGTAATTCTTATTATATATATATATATATAGATATATAAATA